CCCGGCCCTCCGCTGCCCTCCCCGCCTCAGAGCCCCTGCACCCGGCCCTCCGCTGCCCTCCCCGCCTCTTTCTCCATTTCTTCTTGGCAGGTCTCCACTCCTGAGCCCCTCCTGGGTGGGCCGTTTGCTATTCCTCCTGCACCTCCCATCTCTCCTTGGCCCCTGCGTCTGTTCCCTCTGGTCTGCCTCTCACCCCCACCCCCACCCATGCCTAGGGCCCCGCAGCCCCCACTTGTATCTTCCTGCTCCCCGGTCAGTCCCCACGTCTGCTCACCCTCCTTTTCTGTTCCCTTCTCTTCCCAGGGAGGTGGCTGCCGCTTCCTGCGCTATGACTGTGTGATCTCGTCCCCGCGGAAGGGCTGGGGGCTGCTGCACCCTGGCCGTCTCACCCACTACCACGAGGGGCTGCCCACTACTCGGGGCACTCGCTACATCATGGTGTCCTTTGTCGACCCCTGACCTTCAACCACTCTGCCAAACCTTCCCCACCGCAGTGCCTTCTTGGGCGGCCTGGGTGAGGCCCCCAGCCTTGAAGAGGAGGGGCCTGTCTGTCTCCTCGCTTCCTGTGTGTATGTTCGGTATGCCTGGAACTGAATGTGTCGCCTTGTCCCCCTGCACATGGCCCTCTCAGGAAGCTCCTGGAGCCCCTGCCCCCTCCCCGCAGCTCCCAGGGGTTCCTGGGGAGAGGGCTTCTGGGGGTTTCCAGTGTGATAAATTATTAAGGTTTCTCGACCTCCCTCCTCCCCCAATAAAGGAGGATTTGTACCTCTCGAGTCCGGCTGTGTGCTTCCGTCAACCTCTGGACCCTGTGTCTCCTGCCACCTAGAGGGGAGGGGAGACCCCTGCTCTGAAAAGAAAGGACAGAGGCAGGAAAAGGGGGGAGGGGCACAATGGTAGCTCCAGGTGGGAACCAGCTGGAGAAAGTGCCTCAGAAGGGCCAGACCCCAAGAGACAGCAAGGTCAGCTCCCAGGAAAGCTCGCCCGCACACCCTGCCTCCAGCTCTCCTCCAGGAGTCTCTGATCACTTGATGCCATCTCCTCCCTTGCATGAAGGGTGAGCCCAAAACTCCCCACCCCCAAGCGTGGGTTCTGATGGGGGCAGACAGGCTGGAGACTTACCTTACCTGTAGCTGGCTGTGTGTGTGTGTGAAAATACATGTAACATAAAATTGACCACTTTAATCCTTTTTAGATGTATAACCCAGAGGCATTTAGTGTAGTCACAATGTTGTGTAACTCTCACCACTGTCTATTGCCAGAACTTTCTCATCCCAAACAGAAACTTTGTACCCACGGAACAATAATTCTCTGTTCGTCCCTCCCCCCAGTCCCCAGGAACCACTCAATCACTTTGTGTCTCTGAGCGGCTTGTCCTAGATGCCTCACATAAGTGGACTCATAATACTTGTCCTTTTGTGGCTGGCTTCTTTCACTTAGTGTAATGCTCTCATTATTACCATAATGCATTTCTTTATCAGTTTGTCATACTGTGCTGGCTTGCATTTGGCTGTGACGCTGGAGGCTATGTCACTGGTATTTCAGATACCAGCAGAGTCACCTGTAGGGAACAGGTTTCAACAGAGCTTCCAGAGTAAGACAGACTAGGAAGAAAAGAGGGGCCCATCCACCTCTGAAAAAATTGGCCACTGAAAACCTTATGAATAAGAGTGCAGTACCAAGGCTTGTTAGGACGGCACAGGGCCGGGCAGTGTTTCGTTCTGTTGTATGTAGGGTCTCTGAGTCAGAGCCGATCTGATGGCACCTAATAACGTTTTCAAGGTTCATCCATGTTGCAAGACACATCGGAACTTCATTCCTTTCTGTGGATAAATACTATTCCGTTGTATGGCTGTGCCATGTTTTGTTTATCCATTCACCTGCTGGTGAACACTTGTTTCCATCTTTTGGTTATTATGAATCCTTTTGCTATAAATGTTGGCCGTGAGTATCTGTTTGAATCCATTTGTAGCTCTTGAGGATATACATCTAGGGTTGGAATTGATGGTGGTTGTTAAGAGCTGTTGAGTCCATTCTGACTCCCAGCTAACCCATGTACAACTGCTTTGTAGGTTTCTTGGTGTAACCGTTACCAAGGCAGATTGCCAGGCCTTTTCCACAGGGCTGCTGGGTGGGTTCAAACTGCCAACCTTTTGGTTAGTAGTCAAGTGGTTAACTGTTTGTTCCACCAGAGGTCCTTGGAATCTCTGGGTCCCATCATAATTCTAGGTTTAAATTTTGAGGAATTGTCTGTTTTCCACAGATGATGTACCATTTTACATTCCTACCAGCAATACGGGAGCTCTGGTAGCATAGCGCCTAAGGCACTTCACTGCTAACCAGAAGGCTGGTGGATCAAACCCACCAGCCACTCCTCAGAAGGAAGGTTGGGCAATCTACTTCTGTAGTGATATCACCTTGGAAACCCAAGGAGAGGTCACTATGAGTCAGGGCTGACTTGACGGCACATAATAACAACCAGCAATACACAAAAGTTCCAATTTATCCATATCCTCACCAACACTTGTTAATTTTTGTGTGTTTTCATTGTTGTTGTTTTTCATAATTGCCATCCTCTCTCTGGTCCTTGGCCTCTTGGCCCCTCAGCTTCTTTCTGCTCCAGCAAATGCCACAAAGCTCTGTAGCCTTACCGATAAGTGCCTGGAGTCACCCCACTCTGCCAGGAAGCCTTAGCCCGGAGGCACCCAGCCATCTGACTCTGTGGGTGGGTGAGGCTAACTCTGCCAGCAGATACCTGAAGCCTCCTGCCCAGAGTTGCTCAGCTCTTGTTCCGTGGGCAGACACCCGCACCGTCTCACTCTGCTCCCCTGGTCCTGCTGCTGCTGTTTCTGCCCCTGCCTCTCACCCTCCACGCCATCTCTGCCTTTACAACCCTCCTAATTTCCTTCTGCGCCATCCCCAGAATAGCCTCTGATCTCCAAAATTCCACCAACAGTCTCTCTTTTTTTTTTTTTTTTT